CGTATTCCTGATTGATATTACTCCTTTATACTCCTGCTTCTGCACCTATTTCCTTTTTTCTCACCTCACCGCTTGCATGGCTGTCCTGTCTGTCTAGTCAGCACATCAACATATATGTCCAATACATTCATTCTCCCTCTCCCTATCCTCTCCTTGTGTTAGAACATATCATGACTACGGACTATATTTTGCTTGGCTTAGTTCTTGCTGTACAAATCGGATCGGCCCAGCATTCCAGCCAATTAACTTCCATTTCTTCTAGAAACTAAAGGAAACCCCGACCCCGATAGGCCAGCCTCATCATCTTATGGAGAGCTAGAGGTGCTGTCCGACATTCCAAAACCCCACGAATCTACCTGTCGAAAAAACACAATTTGGAAATAAATCCCCTTTCTTTCTCTTTGCTTCCTTTTCTTAAAGTAAATCCATGTTCGCTCGAAAAAAGAAAAGTATATTCTCTCCCATCATTCATCTGACCATGTAAGAGCCTGGTGCCTTTGTTGTGTCGAGCCTTGCTACGGATCACCGTATTGTCTTGCCTTACTGCGTACATCTTTCGAGGTGTCTTTCCCTGATCGAATCATCAATCGCGAACTCCGGTCTCACCTACCTTACATTTCTTAAAACCCCCCCCCCCTCAACAACTATCTTTTTTATAAACGTTCTACACTTTCATTTTTCACTTCTACTTCCTGCGAAATAAACCCTTTCTGAAAGCCACACAATAATCTAATCCGATCATTACTCAAAGACCCTTGGCAAAAATGGTGGCCGACGATACTTATGAGATCTGCCTACCTATCCTCGAAGATGCTACCCTAGAGGACGAAGACAAGACGGATAAATTGGAGGACTTACTAAAGAATGAAACTACAATGACAGGAACAGTTTTGGAGAATGCTGTGCTGGATGTATTATGGCGATATCGCGAGAGCGCTGCGAATGCCGCTAACTCACCACCCGCAATGCGACATACAGTCCTGCGTCGGCCATCCCCTGCTCCATGGCAGATTCCACGTGGTGGAACACCATTATCTTCATCACCTCGTCTTGGAGTCAGTCCTCTCGCTCCCCATGGGTTTATGCCGCAATCATTTTCTCGAACAAAGTCTATCCAGGGTTCCCCTTTTACCTCACCGCGACCCTCCCCACGACTCGCATTTTCCAGCCCTGCGATCCCTCATAGTCCAAACCTGAACGCATACGAGTTTCCGACTGATACTAGCCCTACGCAAGACATATACGGAGATTACGGAAGTGAAAATGTAGACTGGCTTGTGAATGATGATGCCGTTAGTATCACATCATCGTCCGTCGGAGGAAGTGGCCTCAACGCTGCAGCTGCTGAATACATTTCGCCGCAACAAAGCGATATGAGCTCTCATGAAATGTTACGGTCGATTTTTGGCCCTTCAAAATCAGTTGAAGAAATCGAAGCTGCCCTTGCTTTACACGGATACGACTTGAGCGCTACTATTGCTGCTTTCATGGATAGTCAATCTGCCGAAGCTGCAGTACAAGCAGATGGAGATGGTACAAAGGCTATTCTAATTGGTAAGTCTATGGCAGCGGACGTGCCTCGACCGAACACTCCGGCTGGGCAACAACGGAGTGGTGTTGTCTGTCGATTTTGGTTGTCTACTGGGCAATGTCTACGTGCAGATTGTAGATTTAGTCATGATTTAAGTAATCACATTTGCAAGTAAGTTTTCTTCTATTCCTATAGATTTACACCCCTCATTTTTATGCAGGTATTGGGTCATGGGCAATTGCCTTGCGGGAGATACATGTATCTTCAGCCACGATCCCTCATCGTTTATGAGCCGACTCTCTCTCGAAGGGGGTAGCACACCCCCAACTTCGAATGCACAACCTAGTTTCCAGTTCCAAGACTATAATGCGTTCCCATCTTTACAATCAATGCAAGAGCAATGGCCAAACTCTTATTCATCGGCGAATGCTTTTAGCAACTATCAACAGGGCGGTTTTACTCCACCGCCTGGTTTCAAAAGTCTGCAAGGTTATAACAGTGATGGAAGTCAACGATCTCGACCAAGTAGTCGAGCTAGGGATGCTCCCATAGCTCCAGCTCTTGATGATACGGAAGCATTTCCATCTTTAGGCGCTGTGAGTACAAAGGGCAAAAAGCATCACGGAAAACGAGGTGGCCATGGGCACAACCACAAAGAAAACAACAGCCCAAGCTCCCTTGCCGATGTGGTAAAGCTATCTCCTTCACCAGGCCCTGGTATGATGCAAGAAAAGAAGAAGATTGGCAGAAACGGTAGCTCCAATAATGTCCGCAATGGCGAGAACAGCGCTGCTGCACAAGCTATATCACCCCCTCAACACATTCCGTGGTTAGAAACAGGGGAAAGAGCCAACAAAGCATACCTCAAAGCCAGACAAGATGCAATCAAGCATGGTGGTTTGAGGAACAAATTCTTACAAAGGTTAGTTTGTGAATCACATTATAAAACACATTTTTACTAAGACAATTTAGTGCCGCTCAAGCTTGGAATCGTAATGATGCACGTGCTGCAAAAGCACTTAGCCTTCGTGGTCAAAGTGAGAACGATCTCATGAGGAAAGCACATCGAGAAGCAGCGCGTGAGCTTTACGAAGAACGCAACAAAAGCAACTCTCCAAACGCGGAGCTTTACGTTGATTTACATGGTCTTCATCCCGAAGAGGCTGTTGAATACCTCGAGCGCGTCCTTCTGGATAACAGCAAAGAATCAAGACCCGTTTATGCTATTACAGGTACAGGTCATCATAGCAAAAACGGCAAAGACAAGGTTGGGAAAGCCATTCGTACATTCTTGAACGAATGGAGATACGCATACCGCGAATTTTCAGTCCCTGGTGATAGAAACAATGTGGGTGGTATTTTGGGCATTGACGCTCGATCTTATGACAAGACTTTATCCAGGGAAAGCAACGGCGCAGATGGTTCAAAGGAAGAAGTTGATATCTTGAGTCAAGGTCATGAGATTGGTGGTGGTAAGATCAAGCTTTTAGTGCGAAATCAAGATCGAAGTCAAGATGTTCCTAAAGGACCTAGCGGTAAAGGTCGATGACCTAGAATTAAAGAATAAATAAATTATTAAACAATTTTAATTATCTGTCCTCTCTACATCTTTGCTCCGGATTTCTCTTCTTTGATTTTATTCCTGGCATCAACGATTTCTGCGACTGACACATTCTTTTTTTCTTCAAGATGACCCGTGCTTTGTAATTTAGCAATGAGCTCTTCATCCCCAACATGAGCGTTGTGCTAAATGATGTATTAGTTTCAAGTAATAGCATGCATGAGCGAAAACTTACTTCGAATTCTGGCTCTTGCTCGTATGCAATCCTAGCCGCATCTACATGTGATCAGTTAGCTACGTGCATTCAATTTGTCCTCTGTGCCAATCAAAATTCTCAACTCACCAACCAACATCCTCGCTGTCATCCCCCATACTTTGAAACGAGTCAAGCCCTGTTCTTCCTGTTCCTCAAGCTCCTCAGCAATAGCAGCCTGTCCCCCTTCTCTGACCTTTGGCCTTGATACTTTCTGGTTGGTAATCGGAACATAGAAATTATGCATCCGCCACTTAGTATCGTGCCATTCATGCCAAGCGCCACTATACCAATCACTTTTCTTCCCCGGTAATAAAGATTCATCTTCTTTCCTCACTTCATCCTCCATGCGCAAAAAGTTATGGAAAGGAGCAGAAAACACAGCCGCTACTTCTCGTGCATCGAGCCGCGGCATCAAATCCTCTCCTACACTGGCTTCTCTCCCACTCGTTGCATTATCGGCATGGAGAAATGCAACGCAGGGTCGTACGGCTAATGCCGTTCTGGCCAAACTAAAAGGAAGCTGACATAGATGTTCTATTCTGAACGGAGCGGGAATCTTGTGATCATATCTCGGCAGGCCGATTTCCTCACTAGCTTCTCGTCGGGCAATTTCAAACGGCGTCTCGGAAAGCGCATCGGCTTTTCCGCCAGGAAATGCGGCCTGGCCGGAAAAGTTTCGGAGGGTAGTCGAGCGCATGGTGATGACGACTCGGAGGTCTCCTCGCCGGTCGGCGAAGAGGAGCACGAGGACAGCGGCTCGCCGACTCAGAGGGAGGAGATTCCATACTGTGTCGAAGGGTGGTGGTTTGTAGGCGCGGAGTCGTGCGAGTGCCCCCTTTTGGATATTGTGTTAGGTGGATTGAGAGTTGGGTGTTACGCTGATAAAGTGTCTACCGGATGTTGAACGTCATGTGGAGGTACTTACTATTGAAGCTGCGGAAAGCGGAGCCATGCTACTTGCATCGAAGTATTGTGCTTCTAAGATGCTTTGTTGCAGTTCTGCTACCTCATTGTCTTCTATCTGAATCGAGCTTTCTGGTGATAACTTTGAATCTTTTGAAATTTCATTCATACTCTTTGATGATACCTATCATGTAGGTATTTCAGTACATGACGACAAGCCGAGGTCGAGACATGAAGTCATTGAATTGGTGTGGGGTAATGCATAAATAGGAATGGGAACATAAATATTGCATAAATAGTATAAATAGTTACCTACTGCTATCAATCTGGAAGCTACAAGGTTTCCTACGACATGTTGATATAAAGATGACTTTTTTTTGGGCAAACATTCCTATCATCAGCCACTTTGGCGGAATATGTATGGTGTGATGTAGATGGAATATGATGGAATATCTAGGCTGAGCATCTCCATTGGTATCTCAGATTGCGCCATCCTCTTCCGGTCTTTGAAAGGAAGAATCAACGGGATTCAGTCGAGATAGCTGGGGATACACCAACCTCGATTCATCCTTTTTGATTTTTTCAATGGATAACAATCATATATAAAGATGAACAAACGAGCCATTTGCCGGTTAGGTGTTCATTAACTTTCACTGATCGAATACAGACAGTACATAGCTAGATCTCCTCTCAGCATATTTGAGCCTATCATCACATTTGCGAACAAGAGATAGTTAAAATATACAGTCATGCCAGCTGAAGTCCCATTCACAGCAGCAGCTGCAACTGCTCATACTACGCATTCCGAGACACCCATTCAAAAAAACCTCATTGAATCCAACAAACTCTACGCCGCAAATTTCACGCAAGGTGATCTTGCCCTTCCACCCGCGAAGAAATATGCCGTTGGTACATACACACTTGCCAAAAACCCTTTCTTCAATTTCTGAATCTTTCTAATATGTCCCAGTAACATGTATGGACGCGCGTATCGGTCCCTCTGCAGCTTTCGGCATCGCCCTCGGCGACGCCCATGTAATTCGCAACGCGGGAGGTTCTGCACGCGATGCCTTACGCTCGCTTGTTATCTCCCAGAAGTTGCTGGGGACGAATGAGATTTTGCTGGTTAAGCATACGGGATGTGGAATGCTTACGTTTGGGAATGAGGATGTGGTTAAGCTCGTGGAGGAGAGGTTGGGGGAGGGGGCGAAAAAGGAGTTGGACGCTTTTGGGGGCGAGTTTTTGCCGTTTGCGGATTTGGAGGAGGAAGTTAGGAGGGATGTGGAGTGGTTGAGGGGGGTGGAGGTTATTCCTGAGAATGTGGGGGTTAGTGGGTGGGTTTATGAGGTGGAGAGTGGGAAGGTGAAGAGAGTGGTTTAGGGGTTTGCAAGGTGGATTACTCGAGGATTGTGTTTTGTTTATTTTGAATATCGAGTATTCCTTCCTAATGTTGCAGGTATTCTGGAGTAATCAAAGACAGACAAAACAGACACCAGTGTTGTGATGTTGTTCGTCATTTCATTTGTTTCAAGAGAAAATTACATTCTATATCCCTAGTGATATGTTTTTCGACCTTCAAAGTTTTGTCGGATTCTTATCGTTCCGCACCTGCATGTATATTTCGAATGTCTGGGAAGAAAATCATCAATATCTATTGTCTAACCCTTCTTTTACTTCTATCGTCCGACCTTCCTCTCTTTTAGCATACGTTCCCTCTAATTTCTGAATGTGAAATCAAACTCTGATCAAAACCGTTATTCGTCAAAACGGGAAAGCAGAGAAGAGTGACACTCAAGCTTGTGCATACCGTGGTATGTGAGTGAGTAAGGAAGTGACTGCTTTATTTGGATATAGAAAATAATCCGAGCATCTAAAGAAGTAAGGCCATTGAGGAAACGCCATTCATAGATGAGGATTGTATATAAACGTAGATTCTAGCTTTTGATATTTATAACCATCTTCGTTGTCCTTTTTGACTTAACAGATATCCTTCCCACCACCAACCTCACAGTCCTCATGCTGGTGCTATTTCTGCCCTTGGTTTCTGGGCGTTGTCGAAGCTCTGTTAAACCAAATCTGGTAATCGCGACCAGAAGTCATAGCAGATGGCAAGAAGTTTACTTTTGCTATAGCCAGCAGGAAAGGATATATATATTAACTGAGAATTGTTTTGGCACGGATTGGGGGTTTGAGTTTCAAGTCAACCAAAGATTATAGTTGCCTTACTTGGTCAGAACAAACAAATCTTCATAGTGACCCAGTCAAGTGGAAGTAGCAACTCCAAAATTCGTCGAAAATGTCTTTCTCAGTATACATATGCCACTAACATCGTCGTAAGCTTCTTTCCTAATGTGGCCCGAGTCAGTTAGCTCTCACCTGATCAATATGCGACTAAAGTAGATCGTTAGGAGTGGTATAAATAAGCTCCAATGCTTTCTTTTCTTCTTCATCTCTGTTCTCATCTCCATCATTCATTTTCCCACCCACTCACACCATAATTCCACTCATGTCGCTCAACTTTCATCACATCTTTATGATGTTTATGTTTCTATAGATATCATCTTCCTCCAAGTATTATCCTCGAATTTCTTAAATCTTGCCAATTATCGCTGTTGCTCGTAGCAGGATATGAGCATAATTTCTGCTTAGCTTAAAGGTAGGGGGTATCTTCCAGGGTTCTACTTAGCACATGGTGACAGCGTGGCGGTCAAATGGAGACGTCCATTTGGTAAGGGGTTCGACTCCCTGAGGCCTGTAGCGACGTTTAACTCTGTGATCTGATCTTCTGTACTCCATTACAGTCGTTCAGCTTGCTGGACCAATCCTACTCAGTGGTCGCGCTGACCTCGTTTTCTTTCTCTTCTAGGACCCTTCCATCAGGCTCGATATCCAACTACCCTTGCTACTGTCAACTTTCCTTTTCCAATAGAGTTTTTCCTACCAATCTTCGCAGCGCGATCGGCTCTTACGTTCCCTTCGACTCCTGAATGTGCAGGAACATATCGTAACTCGACCTCAACCTCAAGTAAGCTTAAAGCTTCGGACGCAATGATCCCTGGTACAATTAATTGCTCTGCATTGGGAAGTTTTTCCAATCTTTCCAATGAATTCCGAAACTGATCAAATCGTCTCAGTGCATCAGAGCAATCGCTGTAAATCACGATCTTACTCGGCTTTCGTTCAGCTCCCTGATTGCGGCACATGTCCCATGCTATCTCAAGAGCTCTCACGATAGCATATATCTCGAGAAGATAGGTCGAGATTTGGCCTCGGATACGCCAAGAAAGATCGTCCCATACATATTTGGAAGAGTGGTAAGCAATGCCTATTCCACAATCAGAGGAATCGTTGCCAGAACCATCAGTCCAAAGAACTAATCTATCTTCATTCAAGTAGGAATCTACCTCTTTTGCCGCGCTAGCGAGTGCAGTTTCTCTGGGCTCAATAACAACGACTCCTTTGAAAAGTTTATTCTTCAGATCTCGTTTGGTTTTACGTCGTAGGGAACCTGTTCGCATGCCGTGAATTGGTTTCGGTGCCACGAGACTGCCTATGGTTGATTGGCCACAACCAACAACATGTGTATCAAGGGAAGTTTGTTTGTTGGTACCACAGTCTCTTGAAAGTTGTCGAGGACCCTGCGCCTTATGTTTGTTCTTTAATATACCTTGCTGTCGCTCATGTTCCCTTCGCACTTTCCGAGCAATAAGAGATGGACGGACCATTCTGTGGGGAATAGGGGAGATTCAAGCTGGTACTTTGTATATAATATAGGGATTCTGGTCAGATGCTTGGTGAGCTCCCTACTCTATTAAAGATCTTTTATGATAAGAATTTCTTGCCTGCTTCAGAGAGTGTGTCCAATTAAGTATGTGATTGTACTGACACTTTTGTTTGCAAATAATTGCAAGGGATATATATATATATAAAATTGATTTAGGAAAAGTATGAGTTTTTGTGTAGTATCTTTGTATATAAATTGTATGTTCTTCTTCTGACAGTCAATTAGAGGGCGTAAATGGTTGATTTTTCTTATTATGTCGATGAGTATTGATTGGTGATGAATATAAAATTATTTATATGTTAAGAGAAAGATGGGGAGGCGCTGCCTTATGGGTGAAAAATGAAAAGATAAACCGGAGAGAAGATAAATTCTGAATTTGATGGAAAGAAGGAGAGTGTGAGAAGACACGTTATATATGGGAAATAACTATACTAGATACTTACTAACTTAATTAGAGCTGAACTAGTTCTACTAGTTTGATGATAGTATAAACTGGTTAAGTAAATGAAGCTCAGGTTCACTAGCTGAACACGTGTTGAACGACCGGTGCTTTCATCTTTGAAACTTGAAGTAGATTGGTTCTGTAAGGGCATAAATTGTACGAATAAGCAGTTTTCAAATTCAGCTTCTTCCAAATTGTACAAATTTTAGCTTCAATCTTCAGCAGATTGTAAAGTGAAGGATGATTTTGGTCCTTCAAACAAACATCGAATTCAGATCTAGCCTATGATAGTTTCTCGATCGTGCCCTACTCTGATTAAATATGAAGATTGTAGTTGTTGTAAACTCCCAGTGATGTGTAGACAATGTTGCTAGTCGTTATAAGTGGTATTGAGGAGTCCTCCAAGTTAGCGAAATAAATGAGGCAGAAATGATCACCTCTAGAAAGTACTTGCAATTTAATTGTCACCTTTGAGTTCTGTATAATTCTAGTTTATTAGAAGACGTAGATTACATGAAAGCTGCCCTTCAGTTTCATGTTATTGAAACTCTGTGATTCCAATGAATCAATGAAATCAAAGTGCTCAATTCCGGAAATCCATTTCGCTTACAAAAAGGGAAGATGATTACATATCTCGCGTATCATTACCAATATATTTTTACTTTCAGTAATACCGGACACATACGACCATAGACTGAAGAGAATTGGGCATCCCGTCCGCTCTGCCATACACAAGCTTCAGATCGGTGGATTAGTAGTTGGGTGGGTGACCACCAGCGAATCCCCACTGTTGTATGTTTTCTTTTGCATTTTGGCTCATTGGGGGGTGTATATATGAGGGAGGGAACGGCAGGGAACGATGGCTGAGGAGATAGAGATCTTTGACGAATGCTGATAGTTGGTCAATACCTAGTTTGTGAGAAATGTTTTAAAGGCCGTTTCCTTTTGTTGAATGAGCACTCTATATTAACCCTATATCTACAACCCGTCGAAGTCATCATGTGATCTATTCTATCATCTGCGAGTGCTGTTTTGTAGTCATTCACTGGAGAATTCTAGTTATAGGGACTGCGGTCTTTCAACCATTCATTAAAACTATCCCAGCGATAAAGTTTGTGATCACATTATTCAAATCAAACAGGAGACAGCTGGGCAGAAATAAATCATTCATTTGACTGATTGACCGAAATTTGGATTTGCCGAGGACGATGGAACAATTTTAACGTAGAAATAAATACTAGTTGCTGTTTCAATTAGAAACAAACGAATAGGTGAAAGCAAATCCATAGACTTGGATTAATACAGGCTATGTTATAAGTGCACCCGGAAATGTAATTGTTGGTATCAACTTGGTTGATAAGTGTAAAGTACTTTAGTCCATCATGATTGTAATCGTTCTTAATCATTGTTATCTATAGGAAGCTAATACTTATATAAGGAAGCGCTAGCGCCTCGATAGCTAGTACAGTGCCCTCCTATGATCACATGATCGATACCCCCACAGTGATGAGTGAATGTTGACTTCCTCCAGTCTATCAGCGCCTTGCCTTCTGATCCTTACTGCGAATTCCGGTATCCATTACTGATCATCTGCAGATACGCCGACTGCCTCTACAAAGTTCCGAGCATTGTTGTTGCTGTCCAGGACTTCTCTCGTGAGCACATTCCCAAATCCAGCTTCAGAAGTGGATTGATCTCCAATCTCTGTTAATGGAGACATAAGCTGAGAAATTTGACTTGGAGACATGTTTGTGATGTCGTTGGTTGTAATTATCATGTTTCCAGAAGCGACGCCGGAGACAGGCTGCGCCGCTCCCTCGGGAAAATTGGCTTTGAATCAAGCTTTCGTGACGAATGTATATTTGGGACGGAATCGAACATCGAAGGCGCCCTTGTAATACAATGCTGTGATTAAAAATTTCTTTCCTTGGGGGAACTTGCATCGATGCAGAAATGTCGGTCGTCTTAGTAATTGAATAAGAAGATAATTCACTTCTCTCCTCGCTATATGTATAATCTGTGCTGGCGTCGGCACCGATTCCAAAGACCTTACCTGAAACACTAACAGATATCCCCAAGCTTTCTCCCCACGTCTTGCTGGTGGTTACAGAGCTCGTAGTGGAGACCGACTCGCCGATGTTGACACTTGCATCACGCGCACCTTCTTTGTTGTCCTTAGTCACTCGCACCACCGACACATCGCTCACCCCCCCTCTTGGCATCATCAAATAATTCATATCAACAAGGCAACTTTGAAGATCGTCTAACACGCCGAATGAGAATTGATCAAATTCCCAGCCAAATCGTCCGATAACAGCTACAATGAAACCGCTGTAAGTTTGTTGCCAGTATGATCGTGAAGTAATATTGCCCGCCGTGAATGACCTCCCTCTGTCAGTACCTATTCTGAAGCCCGCGAATGTAGATTCAATCATCCAGTAGGTAATTCCCGTCGTCTTTGCCAATCAATGGTGACTGTGCCCCACTAACATGGGTGAGTCTAATACCCTTGAAAGGGAAGGAAGCGTAGGGAGCGACCCAGGTTTCAATTTTTGAGACCGGATCATGTGCTCGGTCATGTTAAAATGGCTCCCCTCCATTGCCACCAACTAGAGTATGCCACCAGGCTATTGGCGCTATCGAAATTAGTTGCTGGTGTTGATCAAATTGTAGAGGCAGTAAAGGCGCAGGCTTCGAATTTTTAGAGAGACGTTGAATTTGCTGAAGAAGGAATACTCCACAGATACTCTCGAGTACTTATATAGCATAATTCGCGTCGTGTAGATGAAGAGAGTGGATACAAGTAATATCATATGCAAATATACCTGTGTCATGAAACTACATTGCATATGCAGAAACAAAGCTAGCAGCATAAGTTCAAGAATGCTGATTTGCAAGTCTCACTCGAGATAGACAGATCCTACATGCAGACAAAGCAGAACCTGCGTTGGCACTTTCTATATCGTGTGATGAAGATTTTGTAGTCACCACTAATAAGTAAATATCATTGTCATAAATATAAAAAGGGAATCTCCAATGATTAACAAGCCCAATTTAGTACTTTTACCTGGCGAATCTTTCTGATTTCTCGGAGATTTCCTTGAAATCTGAGAGTTTTTTTTAAAAAGCTTTTCGATTTGATGAACGATGAGAGCCCCAAAAATGTACATATCGGAGTATTGATTCCTGTTTCGTGTAATAATTCTGTGTGGTATCATGATGAAGCCCATAGGTGAGGCATGATAGACTCGAGTCAGCTCTTGATACAACCTCCCATCCTTAGCTTAGCTCGGCTAGCCCTTCCCACCTTTCCAGCTACCCCCCACCATTTACTGTCAGCTCCCACTGCCGCGAAACACTAAATTCTTCAGCTCTAGAAGCTCTAATTCAGTTCAATAAAGCTTGCATTGTCGTATCTTCCCATAAAATGTAGTAAGGAACGGGTCGCATTTTTAGTCGACCCTACCTGTCGCTAACGAACAATGCTTTAATCTCATCATATGCGCAATAGAAATATATGGGAGGATTTATCTTCTTCGTCGCTCTGATTGGGTATACTATCTCAAGGAGAGCGACGTATTATGACCACTACTTTAGCTTCCGACGAGTAACCTGATATGACGCAATGACAACACTTAAGTAGAAAATTTAAATGATTAAAGTTCCAAGGGAACACACACTTATGCAGTGATATTACGCCAGAAGATCTCGACGTTGACAGGTTGGAGGTATGTACGAGAACAACAATATCGAGTAAAGCATGCATGTACTGGTGGTATCTTGTGAGTCGCCCACTTCATAGGAAAGTACTGGCACACCACCCCTTAGAGCCATTTTCATGGCTTGACAGCTCAACATATATCTATGACTGCAGTAAGAGATCAGACGTACCTGTAGGTTGCATTTCGCAGACTAAGACAGGTAGGTATATGCCGTTAAAGCTTAAAAAGGACATAGGTGAGCTCTTTCTTCTTTGCAAGAGTTTTTGGGTAGCCATTGATAAGAAGATTGATGCAGTCTTGAATGCTTGGAGTTATAGATAGGGTGCGACTATATAGCTTGAAGAGTTGCAACAGAGTCTACCATCAAGCTGCAAAGATGGTGGAGCACCGTGTCCAGGAGCTACAAAATATGACAAATGTGTCTTTTCACGATTTGAAATCGGATTCTCCGTTGGAGCCAACAATGTAAAATCACTCGATTCTTGAGCACCAGGGCAATCTCCACTAGGATATGCATATATGTATGACTGGAAGAAGGTAGCTAGCGCCGTAGAATAATGATTAACCGGCAGTGAGGGTTTGTCGAGGTTTGCTTTTGCAATTCTATATAGTTTACCTTTAATCGAAAAAAATGACAATCAAGATCGAAACCCGAATCGAAATAAAGTGCATTGGCATTTAAGTTCATAAACTAAGCGGAGTAAATTAAACTCGTCTAATACTACAATCTGGTCGTGATCGTCGTTAAAATATGGATATCTTTTTAGCCTGAAATATGAGAGAAACAATCCATAGCCGTAGCTATGAGTTCGCTAAATGCATAGCATCATTAATCATCATTAAAATGAATCGGGAAATCGTCGAAGATAAAAAGAAAAACAAAGGGAAAGAAAACATTAAAACACATGATCCAACCATCACCGCTAAACCCAAAGGGTATCAATTATTTCATCACCACTCCCATCCAACCCGTATCCCTTTCCATTCATTTCTTCATCCGCCATTCAGTTTTTGTTTTTTTCGGGGGGTTTTTTTCTTCAAATAACATTGGTATCAGGCATACTACTCTGCAAACTAGCAGGAGTTCGGCTCCTATCACTTCTCCTATCCATGTCCGCTCCACTCGCCGGACTATAAACCCTTCCCACTGGTCCCTTGCCCATTCTGGGTTTGGCAACCAAAACCTGAGCAGGACAAACCACGATTTCCTCATCGCCTTGTCCTAAATCATCACCCTTCTTCACCACAAGTGGAAAGAGTACAACTCTGACGACAGCTCTTTGTGCCTCGAGTTCTTCATTGGAAATGGTATCTCCGCTGCGTTCGTTCATGAGTGCAGCGTTGAAGGAGACTTTACTGGCGAGATCGCCATTGGCGTCGTATTCGGGTTGAAGTGGTGGTAGCATCATGTATTCTGCGCGTTGAGTGCGCATTTCTATGGAGAGATCAACGGCAGCTTTTATAACACGTTTGAGTTGTTCCTCGATTTGACCTTCAAGGTGACTAGGTGGAGGTAAGATCTCTGTTAGGGTCTCTAAAACAGCATGCACCACAGCCAATGTATCTTGTTCTTTCTGCCTGGCGAATGACTCTCGTTTGGATAACAAGGTCAAAGTCGTAGCGCGCCATTGATGAACAGCCGATGGTGGTCCAACTTCAGATAATACCTTCTCCAGTGACTTGAGCTTTTGTCTTTGTTCTCGATCCATGCCAAATAAGTAGCGAGTGAATATAAATTCCCACACCATTGTCATTGTCATTGACATGAATACATCTCGTCTCCTCACTCTATCAGCAAGATAACTATCCACATCTGAGCCATCTAGAATGGCATTATCGAGTCGATCAATGGTTTTATCGTTATTGATTTCGCTCGTGAGTCTACAGGCTCTCATGTCAGAGAACTTCGAGAATCTAAGTACCCATTGCTGGACATGTTGGCAGAGTTGTTGACAAGCATTATCGAAATAGTCCTCGTCTCGGATGATCAGGAATTGAGCGTCACCAGCTTTGGCAGCTAGAATTTCCCTCTGCATTGCCCGAATTTGTTCCTTGGCCACATCCAGTTGAGATCGCAATGATGCAATTTCCTGGTCCCTTTCTTGTATAGCATTGTGTATGACGCCTTGTACTTCGCTTTGTAGGTTGTGATGAGCCTCGCGGGCCTGCTGGAGTTCGCGTGAAGTTTGTGCATGTTGTGATTCGAGTGTGCCATATCGTGCATTATGTTGTTGACCTAGTGTAACAGCCGCACTAGAAAGACCCGCATTCACTTCAGTCAATCTTTTAACCTCATCTTGCATCGATGACAGTGTTCGTTTGAGTAGATCGATTTGCGCATCCCTTTCTACCAAGGCCGCAGGCGCACCTTGGCTTGATCGGAGCATATGTTCGGCATGAGCTTTAGATTCGGCGAGCGCGCGATTTTCCGCAGTTAATTGATCCAGTTTTGATTCGAGTTCCAAGACTTGCATACTTTGTCGTCGTCGCATACTGTGAGGTCGAGTGGGAGATCGTGGTGAGCCCATATGGCCTTCACCATAGCCATCCTACATTTTTTATTAGCGGTGAAAATTTTTCTTCTTCAGATTTTTGCCAACTTACGTAGACATCGGCCATATCTTGTGCCCTGGCTCGGCCCTCATTTGCAGTGGGATTTGCAGTATTTGTTAAGGTTGTCGATGTAGCGGTATTGATGGAGGCTGGATCAATTTCCTTAGCGAGATCAATGTTGCTTTGTTGACGGAGTGATCTTGGATCCCCGCTAATTTTCCGGGCGCTACGACGAAGTGGCGGTGTAAACGAACGATTGGTCTTAGCGCTATCGGGGAACTGTGGCGCTTGAGGCGCATCTAATGGAATGGGTGTTCGCAATCGAGTAACACTGATATTTGAAGCGGATCTTTGACTCTTGTGGCTTTGAGCACTTAAAGGTCGGCTTTCTTGACTTAATTTCCTTGCTGCTGCAAATCCCGATCCTGCTGCTGCAAGAGCTGCACTTCCGATTAACGATGGAGAACTCTCGGAAACACTTCGCTGCTCAGTTCTAAAAGATTTCGGAGTTTTAACTGGTTCAAGGTCCCCATATTTGTTTTCCTTTGGTTTGCGGTACTGGAGGTCAGGAAATTCGGAACGGTGGACACGATGCCTTCTATGCTCTTTTTCTGGGGTCACTGGTTTGTTGATTGCTTCTGCTCGGGAGGCTCAGATAACTTTTCCTTGGATTTCGTTTGGAACGCCTTAAGCCGTTGGGATCGGACAAAGTCTACATGATTCGCTTCTGCGAGTTCCCCACGACTTAAAGAAGTTTTGCGAGAAAGCTTATGCTTTTCTTCATGAGGTGAATGTGCTCTGTGAATTGCCTGTGTTTTATGTAGATCTGTGTGCCCCTCTTCTCTGTGCCTCTGAGATGGCAGATCATCAATTCCATGGCCATGACGTGTTAAGTCTTCCACAACTTTTGGTCGTTGCGGCTGTTCAAGATTAACCGTCCCAGCATCTTCATCCACAGAAGGCCACGTCATGCTATCGATAGCTGCATCGGTTGAAGATACGGGTGCTCTAACACGCATAGAAGGTGAATTGTCTCTTAAGTGGATGCCACTATCACGAATGTCTTCATGCTTGTCGGCGAAGTTTCCTTGAGAAGGGTTTGGAGAGTCGCCTATAAAAGCACTGTCTCTGTTTCCTACATTGAGAGCATTTTCATCCTCTGACTCTTCTCGTAGCATTGTCAAGCCAGGTGTTCCAGGTCGAGATGGAGGACGGGATCTTGATCTAGCTCTTTTAGCTCGTTCGGCTATTGGAGAGGAGATCGGCGAAGGACTGGTTTCTCTAGCTCGGGGCTCAACAATAGTATTTCGCAAGGCTTCTTGGATTGGTGTCGGTAAAAGATCTAGCTTATCGTCAACCTCGATTGACTTCTTCCTTCTTTTCTTCTCCATATCTCTTCTCGATGGTCTAGAGAGGTACTCTTCTGGCAGATCTCCTCTTGGTTCGCGTGCAGGTGGTGATCGTCTTGGGCTTGAAGAACTGCTCGAAGCATAGGATTGGGCAGCCAGTGCCATTTCTTGAGTTTTGTCATTGGGATCAAAATGGCGAGGTGGCGTGGGCGTTGCACTTTCACGATCTTCCATTATCAATGGTTTGGTAGGGATCTGCACCATTGGTTCTTGAGAAGCTCCAATCTGCTCTGACTCTTGTACGGTTTGGCGTTCTACAATGGTAGAGTCGGCAGGAACTTGTGTCGTTGGTTTCTGGACGGCCTCCATTTGTTCTGGCTCATGCAAAATGGCGTTTTCATCTCCCGCATGCTCAGTGGACATCTGTTCCACTGGCTCTTGAATGGTGTTGGTCTCCTCTGGCTCATGCAAAATAGAACGTTCCATTTTATCTGACTCGAGTGTATCTGACTTGAGTGTTTCGGCGACTTCTTTTCGCTGCATCGGTTCCATCTGCTCCGGCTCTTGAGTAAGCCTTGAAATGTCGAGAACGGGGCTAAGAGATCTAGGAGTTCTAATCTCTTGAGGTTCTACAGCAGCAGCCTTGTCAGATGTCTCAATCATTGGATCCTGGATGTTCCCTATCTGCTCTGGTTCTTGCACAATCATATCCCTTTCTCGAAATCCATCACTGTCATATTCATCCTTCATCTCTTCAAACACTTTTGAATCCTTATCTTCCCTTGGTACAGAATCATCGGATACGACATCACTTGGTGCTATCTTGTCCATGCTTAGTTCATGCTCTTCGTCCCCAGATAACTTTTCCGTCATGGGGCTTTCTTCTTCCTCAGCAGCTTCAACCTCTGATTCCTTGCTCTTGCTAGCCAAAAGTGCTGCACTAACAATTGCTGCAGTTGCGGCTACTACAGATGGCGTCTCTTTGCGCTCCTTCATTGGTTCATTTTTTGATAAACCTTCCCCCATTGATGATCGGAAGTCTTTGATATCGGTTGATTCTCTTCTCGTATTCTTCTTTCCTTTCTTGGCGGGTGGTCTAGAAAATTCGTTCGCTTCGGATTCTTTGACCGTGCTGGCAATATGAGAATAGAATTCATCTCGTCCAATATCTTCGATGACTGGCACAGCCCTGATAACTTCTGCTTCGGGAACTTCACCTGCCCAAAAAGTTCGTTGATCGTCTTTGGGTGTTTCAAGATTTATTGTTGCTTGACGTTTTCTCTTGTCTTTTTTGGAAGGAGCTTGTACTAATGCAGTAGAGAGATTGTTTGACTCATCGATAAGCGGCTTTAATGGATATGATGAGGGAGGCGAAATCATATCTGGTTCCGTAATTGGTTTTGGTGTTGGAACGGCATTTCGTATTGGAATAGGAGAAGCCAGGAGACGCTCGGCGGGCTTGACATCCTGTATATCGGATACCGCGACGGTATTGGCCAAGGCTGGGATTTCTGGCTCTGGGTCGAATGCTCTACTCGAAATTTCTTTGCCCTTTTTATCGTTCTTATCGTGTGACATGTCAAAAGGATCATGCTCGGAAACAATTTTATCAACCTGTGGAATCTGGAAAGATGTATGAGTATCAGGTACGTCCTCAATAGTTGGAAGTAGCTCTTCAAGCTTTCCAGAATTTGGTGGAATATCCTCAGGAAGCTCAGTAGCAACATTGGGAACCTCGGGCTCCAATGGGGTAGACAAGGTAGATTTAAGTCTCTCCTTGTCCTTTTTTGATTTCTTGGTAGAAACCGTACCCCATTCGTCCTCGGTTTGTTGTTGAACTTCCTTTGGCATGTCTCCAGTGGGAATGGCCTTAAATTCATCGAGTGTTATCTCTGTAGGTACTGGCTCCACAACATCCGGTACTCCTATTTGGGTGTCTTTGGGGATAAACTGTACCGGTGAAGAAAATCCAAACTCACGATCATTTATATCCTTGGAATTCTTGGTTAAGACCTCAGTGACATCATCATCTGCTGGTCTGTGCTCTTCCTTTGGGTGCTCCTCATTTAGCATCTCTTGTGGTAAATCATTTTTTGATAGCTCATCGGCTAGAATCGATTTGTGCTCCTCCAGTGTAATCTCTTCAGAACTAGGAAACGCATCATTGTTTTGTTGTACGGTCTCAGGCATAAGGGCTGGAATAAATTCTTCTTCGTGTAGCGGCTTGATAACTTCCGGAACGGACTTTTCTGCGGGCTCTTGAGTAAGTTCTTCAAACTCGGGCTCAACAGCCTCAACAAGCTCTTGTGAGGCACGAGGGGTTAAATTCATCGGAGTATCTTCTATGGAGAAAGATTCAACAGCATCTAAGAACGAATCTTCATCGGTTTCGGTTACATCCCCGTTTGCCATTTCTTTTACATCGTCTCCCATGGATGGAATATCTGTGATCTCAAGCGGCGTACTTGTGATTTCTGGGGCTTGAGGTGCAATATTAGATTGCTCATTCATTGGTTGCAAGACATCATCACCCTTCTCTTGCGCCTCTTTTGACTCCTCCATCGGCCGGGCCCGTTCATCTCTTTGTGTTGATCCAGTCTCAGTAGGCAGACTTTCGGCAAGAGGCTGATCACGTACAGGGTCCTCGAGGGTTGAATTGAATGATGTCGTCTCAAGGGCAGAATCGATAGCTTGTTCATTGGCGATTGGTTCTGTATTCGGTGTAGGTTCAACAAAATCTGGTTTGATTTGCTCCACATTTGCAATTGGCTCAAAACTTTCGGAAACGATATCTGGCGAGCTTGATACAGGTTCAATGTCAGGATTAAATGGATTTAACTCGGAGTCGATTTCTAGCGCTTGCTTTTCTGGTACTTGAGAAGGAAAAGTAACGTTGCTTGGATCTCCGGAGGTTTCCGAGAAGTCCAAGTTCTTTTCTCCTTTCTCCTTGTCCTTTCCAGATCCATTGGGGAAAACAGGTTCGAGATCCCTCGCAGATTCTTCAGGTACGATATCGGAAATTGGTATATCTGATTCTAATTTCGTTGGCTCAATCGATGATTCTTGTCGAATTGACATATCATCCATGTGGTTTGACTCGGAGACAGGCTCTTCGATGTTGACCACTGAAGGTTGACGGATTGATTGCTCGATGGGTAATACTTGTGAAACAATTGATTCTTGCTCAGAAATTTTGGAATCGATATCCTGTTCCTGAGGGATGGGTGCCCTTTCGGTTATGTCCTGGTCGACGGCATCTTGTGGAAAGGTCGATTCTTTCTCTCCAGCCTTCTCCTCAAATAGCAATTCTGATGAATCACTTGGTACTGGACGATCTTGTGACTCAACTACAGGCTCTTGTCGAAATAGTACTTCCGGTTCAAATGATTCCTGCTCGATCGGTGATTCTGGCAAGGCAATTTGTTCTGGCTCGACAGTCTTTTGTCCAAGAGGCCATTCTGAATGGTACACCAATTCGGGATGTGAGCTTTTCGGTTCGACATGGTGCTCTCGTGAAAGACTTGGTTCTTCAACGATATGATTTTCAGAAACGAGCTCCTGTTGAGTTGTAACTTCTGGTTCAGATACTTCCTGCTCAATTGGTAATTCTGGCAAAGAAATTTGTGCAGGCTCGACAAACTTTTGCTCTATAGACAATTCTCGTGGAATGACCAGCTTAACATCCGGAGTTTGAGGACTAGTTGCACGATCTTGAACAATAGGTGCTTCTTCGATAACCTCTGGCTCAGTTAGAGACTCTTGTGGAAAAGACAATTCTTGCTCGAATGGTGTTTGCTCAATTGGTGATTCTGGCAAAGCAATTTGTGCTGGTTCAGGAGTATTGAGCTCGATGACTGGTTTCTCTACAACAATTTGCTCTTCCTCTGATATTGGCTCAACGACCGAGTCTTGTACAAGACTAGATTCGAGACTGGAAACTTCTGGCACAATTTCTAGCTCTTGCTGAAAAGTTGGCTCTTCACTGATTGGTGATTCAACTGTTGATTCTTGCGGTACAAAGCTTTCTTCTTTTCTGATTTCTGGCTCGAGAAATCGTTCCTGTGATTGAGGTGCCTTCTCGTTATCAACACTTGAATTGATCATTGCATTTTGCGGTAAGAAAATTTCTTCGTTTACAGTCTGCGGCTCAATGATTTGATGCGGTAATAAGGATGGCTCGATGCTTTTTGGTTCGCCTGATGATTCTTGTCGTATAATTGATTCCTGAGGTGCAACGTCATCTTCCTTGATATTTTCAGACTCGACAATTGGTCCACGAGAAATGTTTGTTGATGATTCAGATGCAATTGACTCGATTACTGGCTCCATAGATACCTTGGAACCTTCCTCTGTTTGTTCCTGCTCAAGGGCATGTTCTTGAAGCTCTGTTAGTTGCTGAACGATCTCTCTGGCAGTCTCCTCAGGTTCTATGCCATGAAGTTCCTCTTCTGAAGCTTGATTGATTGGCTGGGAAAGTTCGGTCATTTCCGACGTGCTGTCTGTAGGAAGCTCAAGTGATGGACTTGTGTCAAGGGATTTGCGCTTCGTTTTTTCCTCTTGAAATTCTTTAAGTGGAGCATCTGAAAAGTTTATTTCTGGCAAGTCCGTGATATCTTTGGATCCAGATTCAAGGTCCTGTTTGTCAAGAGGGACATCCAAAACCGACTTGGGAGTATCGTCTTGCTTAACCTCAACATCGGTCAAAGAGGGAATAGATACATCCTCGTTGGCTGTTTGCACGCTCTCTGAAATTGACTCGATGGAGTTCGGAACGGTTCCTTGGTTTGACACGTCGACGTCCGGCTGAGTTGTTACAGGTCCCAATGGAGCTTGAGAACTAATATCTCCAGCGTCTAGAATAAGTTCTTCAGACTTTCGTTCTTCCTTGTCTTTCTTGGATTTCTCGGTTAGAACTTCAGCAGGTGGCTCGACATGTTTTTCTTCAAGAACTTGTTCAATCTCATCGGAGATACTTGGAGTTGTAATGCCTCCCATCAGTTCGGTGCCCTTCTGTTCAGTCTTTGGGTTTATCATTCCTGAAACAATCTCGTCTTCGTGTGGTTTGCTGAACATCATTTCTTCTGAAGATCTGGCAATTGGAGAGTTTGAAACAATTAGTCTTGCTTCTTCCGTTGTTGGCTCGACAGCTTTTGTTTCGCTTTCGAGGAGTGGGTCTGACGAAAGAGACTCTTCGGCCACTAGCATTGACGTATCAGAATTGCGCTTTTTCTTATCTTTTCTAGACCTCTTTGGTGAGACTGGAGCAGGTTCTTGGGAAGACTTTTCTAGAATGGAAGAAATCGGTTCTGGAAATTCCAATGCTTCTTTGCTTGCGGGGATCTCAATGCCGGAGGGGTTTTCAATCGTCTTCTCCACAACATCTGAAACTGGTTCAAGTGCTTCCGCGGGTTCATGACCTTGATGCTCGATGTCCTCGGTTGGATTCATCACAATATCTTCCGGCAGTGGGATTGATGCTGCATGCTCAGAATCATCTAGTTCTTCAAGACTTTTGGGCTCCGCAATCTCTGGTTTGATAATTGTTTCCCCAGGAATTGGGATTGATGGACTAAGGTTAAGAGATGGCTGTAGAGTCTCGAAGTTTGTGGGCTCATCAAGTTCGATGGCCTCATTATCATCTTCCGGAAGTGGTACTGAAGCAGGCTCTAAGACATCACGACTTTCTGGCTCGATGGTCTCAACTGATCTTTCGAGTGGCTGCTCGAAGGCTCCACGAATTGGTTCTGTGGTATCAAAAGGCTTCTCTGAGATTTGTTCCTCGACAAGAAGAGTTTGTTCAGGCTTCTCGGTGACTTCGATTGGCACCTCAGGCTCTGAAAGGGACTTGTTTTTACTCTTCTTGCTTTTCTTGCTTTTCTTGGACTTCTTAGTGCCGGGTAAGGTCGATTCATCTTGGACTTCCGTTTCCTCCGCAGGATCAATTTCGCTTGGCACTTGAACTGTTTCATCTTTTGCTGCAGGTTCAGTGGATAAGAGGGTCTCTTCATCAATATGGCTTGGCTCGAAAGTTTCCAGAGTTCCTGACTCCTCCCGTGGAATAATTTGCTTCGTCAAAGACCCATCGGCATCCTTATTAGTTTCCTCGAGAAGTGGTTCTTGTGGTAAAAAAGACTGGTCGTTGTTATGACTTGGCTCAGCAACTTCAACCTCTCGTGGATTTTCCTCCAAGATAATGTGACTTGGTAAAGTAAGCTCATCAACAGTGTCTGGATTTTGAACTTCAATAGCATTGTCCAACTCTTCAGAAAGGGGTTCAACTGACAATTTAGACTCTTCAAGACTTGTATCTGGTTCGACGTACTCGACAGATGCCATGATATCATCTTGGATAGTTTCTTTTGGCAAGAAAGATTCATCAACCAAGCTTGGTTCAGAAATATCGACATTCTTCGTGGCTTTCTCGAGAGTGGATTCATTTGGTGGAGAAGCCTCATTACCAACCGCGCTTGGCTCAGTAACAAGGTCAAATGATGCTTGTGGTACATTATCATCATCCTGAATAGCCTCGCGAGGAACATCCGAGGGCTCGTTTGATCTTTCAAGGATTGCTTGCTCCGGAGTATCCTCTGAGAGGGGTTCTGGAATGAAAATACTCTCTTGGTCAATCTCGCGAGGAGATTCTGAAGATTTGCTAGGGTTCTCAACAACTGGTTCAGGAATATGCTCAGGCTGTGGTGATGAAGTAAAAAGATCCTCCTGAATAGCCTCACGATCAAGTTCCTTGGGCTCTCCAGAGGTTTCGACAACTGGTTCAGAGGAATCTTCATTTGACACTTCGGGAGCTTGACTCTCTTCCAAGGTAGGTTCGCGTTGAAGTTCGGAAGGTTCGCTATTGCTTTCAACAGATGGCTCATGGATTTCCGGTGCTTGAAGCTTGGGTTCCTTCTCAGTAACAGCATCTCTTGACACATCTGCCTGTTCCTTTGGCATTTCTTCCGACACTGAGGATTGCGAACTTCGGCGTTTCTTCTCATCTTCCTTCGATTTCTTGGTCGGGACCTCAATCAAAGATTCAAGGGTTTCCGTTTCTTCAACTGCTGTATCGATAATTGGCTCGGAAGTGAGTTCATGAGATTGTTCGATAAAAGCTGGCTCTGCCATCAAGGACGGAGTTTCTGGTCCTTGATTGGCGGATTCCCTAGCTCTAAATGCTTTGGAGGCCTCTTCGGATATGAACGATTGTAAGCTGAGACGTTTCTTGCCCTTTTGTCTTTTAGGTGATTGATCATCTTGTACATCTTCTGCCGATTTCGTGACTGATGGCTCCATGATTTGTTGAGCAATTTCTTCCTTGGGCTCAACGGGTAAAGGTTCTTCCTCGATGATTGTACTTGGCACTGCCTCGATTTCTTCACTTGCGATCTTCTTGCTCTTCTTTGAATTTGTTTTCGAGTTTTCGTCTGCCAGAGCCCATTCCTCAAGTTCCGTAGTAGGCGACGGTGCTTTGACAGGTTCAGTCTCGATGACCTTTGGCATGGCGGACTCAGACACAACGCGTGGTGTAGACATAAAAGATTCGGATGCAGCACGTGCTGTAGATGGTCTTGGAGGGAGTCCTTGCTCAGCAGCGGCAATTGAGGCCTTGTCCTTCTTTTTGCCCCATCCCAAAGCTTGAACCATTTCCAAAACACCCTTTCTTCTTCCTGTCAAAGGACCCATGAGGCCAGAAAGTCCTGCTGTCATTGGTGCATCGTTAGGAGCTGGCTCTTTGGCGGGAATCGTGATAATTTGTTCCACAGGCATAGTATTTGGCTGTTCAAATGGCATTTCGACATTGGACGACTCGCTAGTGGGTTTGATGTCCTTGGCAACGGTATCGTCTTCAATTGAATCCTGTACTTGCTTGCCACGCTTGTTTCTATCTTTCTTAGACTTCTTGGGAGGTGCAGAGAATTCGATTTCACGGTCTACAGTAGAGTGCTCCAGAGGTGTGTCCGGAACTTTTTGCTTAACATCAGCAGATTCTTCTCCTTGTGTCTTGTCTTCCTCAATGTTGGCTCGATCCACATTCTCGGAAACAGAAACTTCCTCAATGGGTGTCGGTTCAATCATATTGTTTTGGCTCTTGTCAAGAATAGCAGATTCCGGTTTAGGGTCGATGGCAATAGAAGCTTCATCGGCACCTTGCGAATGCTCAGGCTCGAGTCGCTCTGGAGAGGCATCGACAGGCGTCTTTTCTTCCGAAGTGCCGGGTGTCATGATATCTTTGGAAGGATTAGACGCAGGCAAACTATCGCGATTCTCTTGTTCCTTAGACCCCTTGCTTTGAGTCTCTACCTCGGGTTCTGGTGCTGAAATGATCGGGTCAATGGGCGTTCTCTCGGTTATTGCTGGATCTGAAAATTCCTGATCGATATGCGTATTTTCGATAGTCTTTGGCTCTTGCACAATTGCGGAGGTCTCGTCCAAAGGAGTCTGTTCCTTGATAACGTTCTCGACGGGGTTACTGTCCTCGGAAATTTGTGGCTTCTTATCAGCTTGGGCAACCTCCTCTGGTTCTTCAAGTACAGCTTTGATCGCTGGATCCTCGATAGTCTCTGCCTGAGGGGTAGGGACATTTGTTGGCTCGTTCAAATCCTTGATAGCATAATCTGAGGAAGCAATATCAGAAGGAACCCCTTCGATTTGATCTTGATTGGCGTGCTTTTCCCTTTCATCGTCCCTCTCGTCCTTGGCACTACCAGATTCGAGTTCCTCCTTCAAATCCTTAGAAAGCGCTTGTTGGTCATCTTTGTATTCAGCTTCGAATCCATCCGGAGCTTCAGTCTCATTGGGAATTGGCGTCTCTTCCTCTTGAGTCTCAATTGCAGAGATTTGATCCCGTTCTTCTTGTGGTGGATGATTCTCTTGAATGTTCTCTTCAATCTCCGCAGGTGACTGGCGGGGGAGAGATGATTCATCTTCTTGAGAACCGGTCGGAAGTCCATTGGTTCCAGTGACATCCCCTCCAAGCTCTTTAGAGACATCCTCAATCACAATTTCTTGTGGCTTCGATTCCTCTTGTGTCTGGTTTGCAAGTTCGAGTTGATCATCTCCATGTCCAGCAGTACGGCTACCAAGATCGTTCTTGTCTTCAGAAATATCATTGGACTTCAATTGTTCTGCACTAAGTACAGTATCTCCGGCAGTAATGATTGGTAGTATTGTTTCGGCAGCTGGAAAGTAGTCCTTTTCATTTGATGTAGAAGTTTCTTGTGCACCGGTAGTCCATGGAGTAGCGGGAGTGATTGGCCAACCACCAGGTCCAACCATTGGTGTTGGTTTCTCTGACACATCCTCTGGAATAGGACCAGAAATTGTCGGCTCCGTGGGGCCTTCTATGTCTGCAGTCTTACCCTTTTTGCTCTTCTTTCTATTCTTCTTCAAAGAAGGAGAGGCGATAGCGTGAGTAGTATCATCAAGGTTTGGCGTCTCTTCAAAAGTAAGAGCTTCTGGTAGTTCCTTTTCTTGCAATTCAGGTACTTGCTCCTGCTCCTGCTCCTGAGTGACATCAATTGGGTCCTGCTCGACATTCGCGATTTGTTCCTTCTTTACCTTTTTCTTGTCCTTCTTGCTTTTCTTGGATTTTGGAGTTGAGAACTCTTCAATTGGCTCAACATTGACAGGCGTGGTAGGTTCTGCTTGAATGGGTTCTTGAACCAATTCTTGAGACAAATCTAAAGGATTTCTCGTGACATCTTCAGATTGGGAAATCTCAGCCTCGTTGAGCTCGGGTTGTACCATAGCTTGTTCCGTTTGTGGATCAAAAGGAATCGGTATGGATTTTTTCGACTTTTTCTTATCTCTTTTCGATTTGGGGCTAGCAAACTCGGAAACTGTGGGCGTGATATCACCAGAATTTTCAGGCAGTACAGAATCATTGAATGCTTGTGCCTCGGGGCTGGCTAGAGGAGAAGATGGCTGGGAAATCTCGCGGGAAAGCTCTGACGATACCTCGAGTGATGGCTCTCGTGTTGGAACTTCAATCATAGATTCAACAATTGGCTCAGTAGTGAGTCTTTCCAGTCTAAGAGCATCAGCTTTTGCCTTCTTCTTGTCCTTCTTTCTGTCCTTCTTGGACTTGGGAACAGAGAGTTCCTCGATCTGGTTAATATTGACTGAAGGCGAAGCTTCTTCCATTTGGCCAGATTTCTGCACTTGCTGTTGCGGTTCATCAACCGGTTTGTCAATTGAAGGGTATTCATCCATAGGTTTGAAAGGCTCTACGCTGTCCACATTTTTTGTCTTCAATTCGGGCTCGAAGGACAGAACATTTTTGTCTGCTTTCTCCTCTTCGAGATTCTGAGTAGGATATTCAACGAGTTGAGCCTCGGAGGTAGCTGCTTGTTCGATAAGATCTCTGTTCGGTCCGGTCACGTCATGTGATTCACTTGAAGCATAGCCGGATTTTGGTCCTTGTGTATCCTCTTGACTAGGAATTTCGTTTTGGAGTTCCAATTCGGGCTCCTGAGATGATACAGCTGTTCCATTCTTACCCTGATCGTTCTTGGACTCTGGTGTAGAGAAGTTATCTACGGACTCGACATTGTCCCCTTCAATTGGATTGGAGAGTTCTTGAATGGGCTCCGGAGTATTCTCGGCTTGATCATGAATGTCATCTGATTCAAGCGTCAAACCTTTGCCCTCATTTTTCTTGAAATTTGACAAAGGAAATTCTTCGGTCTGTTCGACCTCCTCTTCAATACTCATGGTTTGATTGCTGGAAGTTCCACTTAAGGTTTGCAATGTCTCCTCCCGTTCGGAAGATATGTCATGTGACTCGGGTGAATATTCTAAATCGTCGTTTCCACTCTTTTCCTGGATCTCTTGAGAAGACCTTGGTTCCTGTTCATCGCTTGTACCATGAGATGCAATAGCAAGGCCGGCTGCAGTTGCAATTCCTGCGGCTCCAATGGCTTTAGCTACTGATTCAGATGATGATTGTTCATGAAATGCATCAGAAGATAAAGTTTGTATTTCTTCCAGTGAGGGGAAAGAATCTTGAAGAAACTCCACTGATGGCGCTAAGTCCCTTTTAAAAGTAATCGCAGTCGGTGTGGATTCTCCGGAGGTGTGATCATCGGAGGGGAGGTTGGTTGAAAGTGGGTCTAGCGAAGGGCGGTGAAGGTCCAATTTTTCCAAAAAGCCCGATTCGGGTAGATCCGCCACGTCAAGCTCTGAATTGGTTCGGGACGGCGGTAAATGTGGGAGCGGGTCAATTAACTCTTCTGGCACGAACGACCCACGTCTGTTAGTCTCTAATAGATACAGGGGCTTGAATTCCTTGGTATTATCCCATGACATAGGTCTTGATCTAGATCTTGGAATTGTGGCTGATTCTGCAATTGGAGAGGGATGGAAAGTAGGAAAGGGCGTATTACCAGTAGATCTCGTTATAATAGGTGAGGCCGGATTGGATCGGTTTCCCATGACGAATTTTAATGGCACGGCACTTTGGCTTGGAGATTTTACAGGAGTCTCCTGCAAACTCTTACGATTTCGCGGAGTCTTCTCCCTTGGCGTACTTACAGTCCGTTTTTCAGATTCAGGTGTTGTAGGTCGACTTTCTGGAAGTTTGGGCAGGTCATCAATTGGTTCACAATTAGGTGAAACTGAACCACTTGGCGGCAATGGTAAAAGATCTCCATATTGAGGGTCAATTGAGGGTCTGATTTGTCGTTCGATAATCTCTGGATCCAATATATCTTCCTCTCTTTCCAGCTTTCCCATATCCCCCGTACTTCCCTCGCTATCATTATTATTAGCGGCATGTTGCTGTTGGTGCTGAGCAGAAATTGCAATTGCACCAGCAGCAAGGCCGGCACCCGCGCCAAGGATGCCGGCATTATCTAAAAAAGAACCCTTCTTCGAATCTGAACTTTTACTCCTCTTCCTCTCTCCATCATTCCTAGAATCTTGCACACCATCCTCACCGCGTGTTTTGTGGCCATTAGTCTCACTTGAAACCAGTTGAGAATCACTGAAAGATTGGCCCTCAGTTATTCCATCCGACGTTGAACTCCGTTTTTTCTTTTTCTTCTTGACATCGTCAGGATCATCACGACTTCCTTTCGTTAGTTCCTCCTTTGCTGCTTCTGCCTTTGCACCGCTAAAGAAACCAAACAACCCACCACTCTTCTTCGGCGTTGTTTCCTTTGTCTTCTTCTTTGAATCTTCGTTATCATCGCGAGTAGGTTCCGAAGCAATTGGTCGTGTAGCATCGTCATTTTCTTTGGTGCTGCTGCGATCTTTTCGGTTCTTTTGTGGTGAATCTTCTTCATCCACCTTTGAGCTACTACCAGCTGATAAGATTGAACGGGATGAAGCCCACAATGGATCATCGCCATCTCGACGTGATGGTCGGTCTGGATCTCTCGATAGCTCCATATCTTCATAATTATCAGAGGCTGGCAATGAGATTTGTGAAGGATCAGGAGCATCATAACGTTCACTCTTGCTTCCCAATTTGTCCTTTGACTTTCTTCTCAATGATTTGCCGGATTCAGAGTCAACTTCTGGAGGGGGTGAGTCAAATCTAACACTGTCGCGCTTCGACTTTCTAGGGATTCTAGATTCGTCGCCATTTTTGATATCATCCATGGAGAAGGTCCTGCGACTTTCACGCAATGGAGACTCGACTTTGCCATCGTAAGTTGATGAGCGCTTGCTAGATTTCCTTTTTGGTTTTGAAGCAGATGAATTAAGGTCAATATCTTCATACGTCGATGACCGAGATGACTTATTGGACTTCTTGGAAGTGTCAACAGGCTCAACATAACTTTCCGGTTCTTCGACTAGTTCGCGGTTTGGCAGAATATCAACAAATGAAGATTCTTCTCTCAGAAGTGATTGTGTTCTTGCTTCCTCCTTGTCACGTCTCCTTTGTTCTTTTTTGCTCTGCCTAGAGGTGTCAAAATAGCTTTCAGGCTCTTCAACGATAACATCGGTGATTGGCGATGATACATCACCACCACTTCGTCTCCGTTCTTTTTCAAGCCTTTTCTGTTCTTTCCTATTAAGATTGGGCGATTCTTCGTTGGCAGGCGATACACTCGACCAATCTTTCGGAGTTTCTAGCACCTCGCCCATAACAAAGCCACGATTTGAAGAATTCTCACCGGGAATGCTTGAGAGGTCGTCGATAGATCCTGCCCATGGCGTTTTGTATTCATTAGAACCAGGTGGGGAATCACGTTTTCGGAACGCGAGGTCGTCAACCACGAGATTAGGATCGAAGCCACTATCTTGCAAACCAGCTGCCACTGTTGCAGTGAAATCCAAATCGTCGTCAAAAGCACCAGGCATGTGTGAAGTTTGTGGCGAAACGGGCTTGGGACCGACGCTTGGTGGGCTATCTCTTCTCGTATGCTGGGATAAACTTTCCCTCCTGTTTTCTCGAGGTGGACTTTGACTTCTCATTTCTCCATATGGACTCTCGGGCTCTACCGTCACGCCTCGGTACAGACTGTCTTTGTCCACATCTCGAAATGATTCTCCGTATGGACTCTCAGGCTCTACAATCACACCTCGATACAGACTGTCTCTTCCCATATCTCGAGGTGGACTATCTCGCCTCGGTTCTCCGTATGGACTCTCAGGCTCTACAATCACACCTCGATACAGACTGTCTCTTCCCATATCTCGAGGTGGACTATCTCGCCTCGGTTCTCCGTATGGACTCTCAGGCTCTACCACTACGCCTCTGTACTCATAAGACCTTTCGTTGCGCTCCTGTTCCCTTGCTTTCAAGATTCTAGCAAGTTCACTTACTTCGGCACGCTTGGGAGATTCAGGTCGCTCACTTTCCCTAGCTTTTAAGATCCTAGCGAGTTCACTCACCTCGGCTCGCTCAGGTTTTTTAGGAGATTCAGGTCGCTCCTTTTCCCTTTCTTTCAAAATTCTAGCAAGTTCACTGATCTCAGCTCGCTTAGGAGATTCGGGTCGTTCACTTTCCCTGGCCTTTAAGATCCTGGCGAGTTCACTTACCTCGGCTCGCTCAGGCTTCTTAGGAGATTCAGGTCGCTCAGGTTGTTTAGGAGATTCACTCGAGCCTGCTACTGCGGCACCCACACCTGCACCAATAATGCCTGCTGCCATTGCAGCCCATCCGCTCGGAGATTTTGGTTCAGTTGGCGACTCCGGTTTTGGCTCCGAAAACCTTGGCTCCGAAAATCTTGGCTCCGAAAATCTTGGCTTCTCAGGAGTTTCTGGGGATGAATCGGAAATGTACTCATCCCTTGGTTCGGTGGGACTTTCGACTTCAAAGTGTTTTGTCTCGTTTGGACCCCAGGTAACAGCTTTTGAGACCGTGGACTGAGTGGGAGATGGGACAGAAACATCAGATGAGCGAACAAGGTCTCCCCTTGGACCGATCATGATGGGAGGAATGTCTCTTCTATCACGTTTTGGACGATCTTGCTCATGTGACTCCTCCTTTGATCGGTATGAAGGAATCTGTTCGTGGATCTGTGCTGTCTCGCTAGGCCTATCTTGTGATCGATATAATGGAATTTGTTCACGATCCTCAACTTGATCTCCTGGTTGGGGTTGGACTGGCTCGTCTTGCGATCGTATGGAAGGTTGTTCACGCTCTCCATCTCTATCCTTAGTCTTGGAACGACGTTCAGGCTCAGGTTCGGGTTCAGGTTCAGGTTCAGAACGGCGTTTTTCAACTGGGCGATCATCCGACCGATTAGAACTTTCCTTCTTCACGTTTCCATTCTTAGCCATGGTGGCAAACTGTTTCTCGGGTGATGGTGTTGAAGTAGGAGTGGGCCGAATCAAGTTCAAGATAGGTCGAGGCAGTTTAGCATCCGCATCCTTTGTCATGAATGGACCCTTCAAATCAGCTTCATCAACCTTATATCGCCTGCTTGGAATGCTGTAGACTTTTAGATCTCTAGGTGTCATGATATAATCAAGCTTGAAATCAGCATTTGGTGCATCATATGGACCTTTCTTGCGTTCATGCATGCCGGGAGGAGTGACAATTCGTGGCGGTTCTTCTTCTGACTCTTCTTCGTATTTGTTCATCACAGAGCGCTCAGGTGATGGAGTGCGAGAACGGCGGACTTCTGCAGCAACTTTCCTGGCCATGAGGATTTCACGATAGGCTCGATCGGCCTCTGCCATAACTTCATCGTGCGATTGTCCCGGGGCTTCGGTAGAATCACCATCTTTTGAAAGATCCTCAGAGTCAGTTCGTCTCTCTCCTCGTCGTTTCGATGATCTTGATTCTCGACGACTTTCCCTAGCCAAAGCAGCAGCGGCAGCGGCAATAGCTGCTGCCTCAATAGGAGCTGTAGAATGTTCAGTTTCTTCATAGATCATCTCGGCGTCATGAAGGGTTCTAGCATGTTCTTTGTATCGCTGTTCCTTGACAACTGTGTGAGAGATTTCAGTGCGTGATTCGGAGCGGGAGATAGAAGATGCTTCTTTAATCGATGAATTTTGCTTTCGATTAAAATCCGGTTCGCGTTCGACAGTAACAACAGTAGGTGCAGATTGATCTTTAGCTTGACAGCTAGAGCTTTCTTCGCGAGGAGGCGTGTCTGCAACCTGGTATTGCAATGGATCCGTGGGTGTGCGAGCCATTGCCGATATTTCTGAGAGTACGTGGGCTCGTCGCTCTTCATAGTTGTCTTCAATGCGATCAGGTGCACGTCGCTCTTCGCGTCTCTCTCGTCGTCTCCTCTCTCGCTCCTCTGCAGCAGCATCGGGATCATCACGACTCCTTTCTCGATTCTTATCACGATCAGAATTGGAAGTGGAGCTTCTAGAATCATCTTTTCTTCGCTCCTCGCGACGTTTCTCTCGTTTTTCATCCCAAGTGAGATTACTATCAGCGATAGAAGATTGGTCATAATCACGACGGCGCTCTTTTCGGTCTTCATCTCGAGGTTTAGAGACGCTGCTATCGGCGATTGAGTATTGATCCTCCTCGTAGCGTCGTTCTTTTCGATCGCTATCTCGTCGATTAACAGCGCTTTCACTGTGACTCCGATTGTCTCTTCTATCATCATCACGATAATTCTCATTTTCATCTCGACGACTAGATGCAATTGCGGCTCCAAAAGCGGCTCCAGCTACGCCGGCTAAGGCCGCGCTAGCTAAAGATTTAGATCTACCAGAAGAGCTTTTCAAGATCCCGCCAGATTCTGAACGAACGTAGCTGGACTCGTGATAAACACTATGAGAAACTGGAGTGATGGGTTGAGGTTGCTGAATTGGAACTGGCGCAGGTCTAGAGGCATTGTATTCGGACGAAGATGCTCGCGCCACATCGAATCGAGAGGGATCATTGGTGGGGACTGGGAAGACTTCTTGAAGAGGGGTCTGCGAACCACTTCCAACACTTTGGGTCCTGCTTATCCTAACCCTTTCGTGCACATACAAAGTATCCACCTGTCTGTCTGGATGGCTGTAAGGAATGTAATTGTGTTGACCAAAGTCACTACCCGACTCCCATTGCACGTCTTCGAAGCCTACAGCTCTATCTGATAAGTACCCATTGAGGGAATTCTCTGGTCCAAGGAGTCTTGGATCGACCACGTTACTCTTTCGACTCTTTGGGCCGTGAGTCTTCTTGCGTCCGAAGAAGCCAGCCTTGCTTTTCTTGCCAGCATGACTTCCACCTCCAAACGCCAAACCAGTATCAACACTTGAATCTGACTCGTCATCAGAGGCTGATTCCCATCCCTCATCATCATTGGGGTCGGTTTCGTATGGAACAGCCTTGGAAGGTGGAAGGCCGCGCTCATCCCTTCGACTAGAAGTAACGGTTTCAGGAACGCCGCGTCCGTTCTTACCATTTTTGGCGTCTTTGTTGCTATGATCGAGTGCAAGTTTGGCAAGTCCAGCGATTCCAGCACCTAAAGCCAAAATTTCAGCATCGGTAGTTGGCCGTTTCGAGCTTGTAGGTCTGTCATTCGTGGGAGATCGAGTATCTTTCAGGTTTTCCTTGCTAGACTTATATCCTATGGTTTCCCATTGCCTGTCTCTTCCATCCCTAGCTCTCACACTCCTCTTCCTTCTGTATCTAAGAAATCCGGTTCCGAAAGCTAAATCTTCATTCAAAGAGGAGCTTGATGAGGTATTATGTTTCGTCAATTTCTTGCTTTTCTTTTTCTTCTTCTCCTTCTTCTTAGAATCAGACTTTTCGGATGGTGTCGAGAAGAAAGACTTGAAACTAAACCCTTTTGTAGGGAAATGGCGAGAGATATCGAGGTACGAAGAAGTAGATGATCCTGATGTACTCAAATATTCCGTAGGTCGCGGTCCATATTCCATTCCTGAAGGTTGGCGCATTCCTCGTTCTCGTTCAGATTTCTCGCGATCCATCATTTGTCGTTCATTTTCTCGTGCTCGTTCTGGGTCGTAATATTCTGCTACCGTGATTGTATTTTCTTTATCATATGGTCCTGTTCTTGATGGGTCCATGGACATGGTAGTTGCAGTGGTATCATAATGAGCAGTACGTGGCGTATCGGGATGCGCGATAGAGCTTTCCATACCCGGATCGAATCGACCAGTTCGCGGTGTGTCAACAGACATAGTACTCTCAGCAATATCGTATCTTCCTGGCCTAGGAGCGCGACCTTCGGCATAACTTTCTCCGCCATTAAATCGCCCAGTTTGTGGTGTGCCACCATTGTAAGAGCCTTCTCCGCCACGATAGCCTGCAGCTCCCGGTGTAACTGCTGGACGTCCTCCAATCGCACTCTCTCCGCCATGGTAATGATCGTGTCTCGGTGTCTCTGCTGAAATAAAGCTCTCTCCGCCATCATATCCTGCAGTTACTGGTGTGTAAGGCGTGTAGGGTGTGTAGGGCGTCATGGGCGTGTTTGGGGGCATAGACCCGTATCTCCTATCATTTTGTCCGCGACCCGAAACTGAGCTCCCCTCTCCATCAAATCCCAAATTTGGAGGCGCGCGTCCATTATATCCTCGTCCTCCATTACCATTCCAACTTCCATTTCCATTCCCTCTCTGCGCAATCGATGGATCTCCTCCTGTGCCATATCGATCGCGTTTCTCAGCCATTATTCCGTACCCTTAGGTAGGGACTTCTTCTCAACTTCAGCTCCGGGGTTTGTATTCATTCGTGATCATATCATTAACATATCATCCAGTTTCGTAAATGATTTCGTCAATCGGAAATCGTCGTTGTGTATCTTATCCAAATTCGTTATCAATTGTGTTCTTAAGGTTTGACGATTCGCAATGGTAAGTTTGTTTAAGTTTGATGCTCTAGATGATTGAACTAAGGAGGGGATGGGGACGCAGATGATAGCTTGTGATAGTCCAAGATCTGGCTCCTTTAGATAAAATTTAGAGATTGCGTTTCTTTAGCTAGGTAGAAAAGTAGAAGTGGAGAGGTAGCGTAGCCGTGGTGAATTGTGGTAGACTGTGGACAATAGACCACAAGATGGGGCGGGCTGTAATTTTAATTAAGAGGCTGGAGAAAGGCGCCAAATGGAAAACAATCGGGGATCAAGCGAATCTCGACTTTGATTTTAGTGATGTTTAGTGGTGTACCGCTGGGTAATCCTTGATTGAACGCCACAAGTAATGTTGATCTTTAAAATGATTTTTTCATTCAGCTGAAGTTTGATTTCTTGATACGAGATTCATGGGTTGTCAAGTCAACATGGGGAGAGAGAGAGAGAGAGAGAGAAAAAAAAGAATATATCAATTCAAATGATCGTTGATAGAGTGAATCGTTATTGCGGCTTTTGCTCTTGTTATCGTCGTTGTCGTTGTCGTTGTAGTCGTCGTCGTCATAACACAAAAGAGAGAATCGTCGTGATGAAGTGAAATCGAAGGAAAACTACCAAGTACTGTATAAGTATGGTAGTAAGTAAGTAGTCTTTCTTTTGAGATGGAGTCTGTCTCTCATTTCTTACTACAACCTTTCCATCCCTTTAGAGCTACATTGTTGTCGGTGGGTTTCCCTCGATGGATCCCCAAGGAGACCCCGATTATTTACAGTTTTTAACGTTTGAGGGCGGTGAATATCAAAGCCTCTCATTGAGTTCTTCACCTTACATGAGAGATACTCTTGGGTGATTGGATTCGGAGTTCGAGATGGCGAACTTGCTTCTTACCTGTAGGTTGAGTCAAGTTGCATTTGTTCCATTCAAGCTGAAATATTCACCCCATCAATCAATCAATCAATCAATCTTTGCTTCCAATCTCCCTCCAATACATGTTCAAAGCCATTGCAAGTAGCAACTATCCGACCCATTCTTTTCTACCCGGCGCCAGTGATGCATCTCTACCAAATGTGGCAATCACCTCTCTTTCCTCCCCACCATATTGGACCAGCCAAAGCTCCTCCCTCGTGCAGTGAGTTAAGTGCACGGTATGTAAAATAGTGGATAGCGTGGGTCAAAATCACGACTCGGTGTACTCTTTTATTGAACCTCAGATTCACGATAACCTCTCAAGTACCTCTCAGTTACCTACTCAATTTCAACACCATCAACCAAGAACCAGCCAATTTAAAATCTTACAATCAACTATAAAAAAGTCCCTCCAAAGTCGGAACGTATAAGAAACCATGAATTGGATATGATCTACATCTACGTGTCAGTTTATGCACAGGATGCACAAAATATGCACTGCAATATTACCGAGCTCAAAATGCCAGCTCATAGGTTGATGAACGTGTGAGAGGATTCTAGATTATACATCGTGATTGTACAGTATTTAAGTGGACTTCATTTGTCCTCTACCCACTCGTATAGTTGGAAATTAATACTTCTAATGCAAAATAGTTGAGCTGAGAGATATGTTTTGCCTCCTGCGGTTTTGCTGTTTATCGGTCGAGTGCTTGAGATTGACACTGAGATTTGTAAGTACAGTGAAGTTTGAATGGGCTTGAGGCGAAAGAATTTGAAGAGCATTTGAGGACTTACCATTTGATAATATACACCTTTCTTTCGTAACAACGCTGCATGATCTCCCACTTCCAATACCCTGCCTTCACCCAACACAAAAATCACATCTGCATTCTGCACAGTGGCTAGTCGATGGGCTACGACAACCATTGTCCTACCTGTCGCCGCCCGTTCAAATGCTGCTTGTACGAGCCTCTCGCTCTCAGAATCTAGACTAGATGTCGCTTCATCAAGAAGAAGGATCTTGGGATTGCGAATGAGCGCACGAGCTATTGATATCCGTTGTTTTTGTCCTCCTGAGAGAGCAACTCCCTTGGTACCGACATTGGTATTGTAACCATCAGGGAGTGACATGATAAAGTCGTGAATTTCGGCATCACGACAGACTTTATGGAGGGTTTCTTCTGGAGTCGACTCATCGACACCCAAATATATGTTCTCTTTGATGGTACCTTCAAACAAGGTAGGCTCCTGTGCTACGAGCGAGATCATTTTTCGGTATTCTCGAATATCAAGTTCAGAGATGTCGGCGTCGTTGCATAATATCTTACCCTTCTGAACATCATAGAATCTTTCAAGGAGACTGACTAATATCTGATTTAGTAAACTATCTTTCATATGACAAATGTAAAATTACCAATTGATGTTTTTCCACAGCCTGAAGGTCCAACCAGCGCAGCAAATTGGCCTTTCTTAATCTATGATGGTCAGCATCCCGTTCATCAACTATACTACAGATTTGACTTACCGTAATACTCAAACCAGTAAATATTGGAACATCACGAGTAGGATACTTGAACCAGACATCTTTCAATTCTATCTTCACCCCGCCCTCTATATTCTGGATTTGCGACGCTGAATTTCCAGTTACTTTTGCCGGTAGTCTAAAACTCAATATTCTGTTTGCTGCTGCCGACGCTTGTGCCATATCTACCGCGAGGTTAGTAACGAAGAACAGAAGGAAGTTTATCAACGGAGTACTAACTAGGGCCAAAACTCAGGAGACTTCCAGCGCTCTCGGCACCGTTTATGATAGCAATATAGACCACAAAAAAGTTGATTGGACCATATTCTCTTGAAGCAAGGAGGGTGCCACCATACCACTAAAAGGCAACTCATATTAGCTTAGGGCTCGGATCAATTTGGATTGCAGTACAACAAGAAGATTTTCTTAGATCTAAGGATCATTTCATGCATTTAACCCCCAAACTCGGATGATAACGTCATAGCACCCTGGAATATGATAAATAAACTCACAAATGCTAAAGCCATACACCCCAGTCCCAGACTATCGCTAGCGGCGAAGACAATCGATGAATATCTGCTTTTCTTGGCGTGGCCCTTTACATGCCACTTCAGCAGCTCCTCGTAACGGGTGCAAATCATATCCTCCAAGGTCAACGAGGTGACTGTTCGAAATGCAGAGATTGCTTCGGCCGCAAATTTAGAACTTTCAGCAAAGACTGCTTGGTTCATCCTCTCAAATTGAATCTCGTAGCGAATGCGATAAAAACTGCCACAAATCAACAGAGGAAGGGCGACGAAGGCCACCACGCAAGTCAGCTTCCAGCCAAACACAAAAGCGATGATGATGCAACCAGTAATATTACAAATCGCCGTCAGCACCATGGCCATATTAATGCCAAGTAGTTGTTGAAGTTGTGTTGGATCATTGGCGACACGACCAGTAAGTTCACCACTAGAGTTTTCCTCTGCGTCAAAAAAGGCAATCGGCTTATGTAAAATACTCTCAAAGTACTCTTGGCGGTATGTGGAAGTGATATGACCAGATATTATGGTCGATGAATAACCCATAATGAACCAAGCTACACCAGCACCCAAGCCAAGAATGAAGAACATCAAAGCGTAGTGTTCTGTGGCAGCCTTGAGTCTGGGTCCGGTCAATGAAAACACTGAAATGATTTGTGCAAATAGATAGGCTTGAATAGGATAGGCTGCGCCGGCAGCTATAGCACCTATCACAAGCATCAAGTACCATTGCGATCGAGCGCGTTGCTCATACAGGAAAAGTCCGAGACTTCTGACGAGACCCTTAGGTTTGTATGCCACTGCTTCTTCTTGCTCCTTTTCCTTTTCCGCTGCACTCATTTCCCGTATCAATGGATCCACTGTCTCCACCAAATTAGAGCCCTCTTGATAAACATCCCCTAAAGATAACTGTTGGGCATTAACGAGAGCACTATATGCGCCGTCCGGATTAGAAAGTAATCCCTCGTGAGTTCCCTCTTCGACAAGTTTTCCCTTCTTCAAGACCACAATCTTGTCAGCCTTTTTTATTGTTGAAAGTCTGTGAGCAATCGTGATAGTTGTTCTGCCCTCGCTCACTTTATCTAAGGCTGCCTGAACAATCTGCTCTCCTCTTACATCAATTGCACTAGTAGCTTCGTCTAATATCAAGATTTTTGGTCGCTTGATGATACTCCTAGCGATGGCCAATCTTTGCCTTTGTCCGCCGCTTAACTTGATGCCAGCATCGCCAACTTGTGTGTCATATCCCAAGGGCAGTTTAGTGATATACTCATCAGCGAAAGCTTCTTTACAAGCCTCTATAACAAGCTTCCTCTTCATTTCGGCATTTTCGAGCTCCCATTCTGAACCAATTAAACCATATTCAACATTTTTGGCTATCGTATCATTGAATATAAACGGCTCTTGTTGTACAAGACCAATTTGTGTTCGCCACCATCTGAGGTCGAGGGATCTCAACTCGTTATTTCCACATGCAATGATACCAGATAGAGCAACTGGATCCTGTTTCTCGTCGTACTCCTCGGGAGTATTTGGCCGTTCTTCTTCTTTCTTTTTGTCTTTCTTCTCGTCTTTCATAGCGCTTGGAGGTATCACTATCCGTTGCTCCTCGAGATTGTACCATCTTTCTAAGAGACCTAGTCGTAGGTCGTCAATAGTTACTCATGCAAAAAGCGCAAAATATCGGGGAATCGAATCCAACAATGAAAGATACACATACCTACGATAGTACTCTTGCCAGAACCAGATGCTCCCACGATAGCCGTGATTTTACCAGATTCAAACCTCATCGATAAATCATCGAGAACTTTGACATGGGGTCTGCTCGGATAGGCAAAAGTAACGGAGTTGAGAGTGATGTCTTCACGGGCT